TGTATGTGTGTGGTGTGTGTGTGTGTGTGTGTGTGTATTTTGTGTGTGCTTCCAATAAATAGCGTCTGGATGGCGAAGAAGTATACCGAGAGAAATATTTCATATGAATAACCATTTATTTTATTGATATGAATTATGAAAACTTCCTTAATTTAAAATATATAAGAGAGTTTTTTAAATTAACAATAAGAAAGTTTTTTTAATTTAAAATAAGAAAGTTTTTGTAATTCACATATGAACAATATAATGATTATTCATACCAAATATTTCTTTTAGTATGCCATCGTAAACATTAACATCTGTAACTGGAAGAAATCAGGTATTCATAATATCACTGAATAAATTAGTACAAGAAGACAAAAATTATCTCAGAAATTATATAAATAATGTAGCTTCTATCAATGACTATTATGCCTTTTGATATGACCATTATTATGACCATTAGTAAATGACTTTTCAGTATAAATCTTTTGGTTGGAATATGTATTCATAAGCGAAAAGAACGATTTTGTCTGAAATATGCCAAACATTTAGATAAATACAGATCTGAAAATAATTTTGTTGAACCATTAAAATAATTACGCGAGAATCTGAAGTATATTAAATAATGTTACAAAAATTTTTGATATTCTAGAAACCAGTTTGAACATCCTACATAATTGTTTTAATACTCTAACAAAATTATTTTCAGATCTGTAAAATTAATAGCTAAATTTTTATATATTTTAGATAGAATCGCAAAATCGTCCTTTTAGTGTACAATTCTATCCTTTATAGTAATACTGGTCCTCATATGCGGGGCCACTTGAATCCCAATTTTGGTATAGTTGTGGATGAATGTGTGGATGAACTGGAAAAGCGTTGTGAACGTGCAGATGAACTGGTTGCGGTGATAGCCATGGTTGTGGTGATGGTGCGTGCCAGCCTGAATGAAGTTTCGCTAGAAAGGTGCTGAGTTTAAATAGTAGCAGTATAGCGCCTGAAAGTAGTGAAATGCAGAATAAGACTTCCGTTTATTAATTGCCGTTTATAAATAAAAAAAATCATGTAAAACTTAATACACATTATTAAGTTTTACTGATAGAAACTTGGAACTGATTACATAAGTAAATCAAACCAATCGAGAAATACATATAAATTGTAATAAAAAAAAGTCTACGATTGCCAACAATTGTTAACTATTGTTAAGATTTTATTATTCGCAATGATGAAAAATAAAGTCTAATAATTGATCAATATTAACGAGAAACATACAACGAAAACTTTTTTAAAAAATTAAATAAAATAAATAAATAATTTAATAAATAAGAAATGCTGGATAAAAAAATCTCGAATGTAAATTTAACATTGATTTGAATTCATATGCAATAAATAGGTCAGCAATGTCATTTAATCATGTATGCAGGTTACGCTATCCACAAGGTAATCATGAGACCGTTATACATTCGTGAGGGTGACACTTTTCATAATGTATACGAAAAAAATGGTACTTACCTATGAGAAGTCCTTTCGCTGAGATTGCTGCTATTACCATCAACATTGTCATCATCACTCCCATTTTGTATATCATCGGCATCAGCATGAACTGAAGTCTTTTATTTCCCCCAAAAGTGCGGGACTCAATGTCTGCATAACAATTTTAATGTAATTGTAAGATTATTGTAAGTAGACATATCCATACTTTTTATGAACAAATATTATTTTGAGTCATTACATAATTTTATACATATATATAAAATATATATCTTAATATATAATCTCTATTGAGACTATTATAAATGGATATATCCATAATTTTTGTAGATACATATTATTTTAAATAATTATATAAAAATTTCAAAAAATTTATAATCACATTTCCAATCACAATCACAAATTTTGATTCTAATTGCAAAATAACTTTTCTAACTTACGTTTTTGTTTTATTAATAAACATGAAAATATGTCTTACCTTGAACTGGTTTGCTTTCGTTAACGAGAATACTTCGAAGATTATCGGTGTCAGGATTCAGAGGCGCTACAACATCTGAGCTCATCTCTAGTTTCGTTGTATTGTATCGTGTGATTTTGTTGCTGTCTCTTGAAAATTTGATGTTCGTGGCACTTATTGCAAACATATTTTTTGTAAATGCAGTTGCCAATAGCATGTACGCCATGATCTGGCCAATCGCCTTCATTCTCAGACCGGTTTACCACCACCCGGACTCATCGACACTGACGATCTTTTTTCTTTTGACTGACCTTTTTCCCTCTGTCTTCTCCTAAACCTTCTGTGTCGGACTACACAAAATACGTGTTATTCGGACTCGCACGAGCAACCGTATGATTCCCTCCAACCAACCGAGCGGTTCGAACTCGAAAGAGAATTGCGCTCGCTGCGCGTCGACTTTCTGCGCACCTCTTTCAAATTCCTCTTAGATACCGATTTTACAAACACCTCGAAGAATCCACAGAACAACGATCCGCATTCTAATGTTAGAAATGTGTTTTTTTTTCTTTAACATTCCGTATTTCTTTTAATAAAATTACACGGCAATAAAAGATTATCCCTAACTAATAATTGCTCGAGAGTATTTTGCAACAATTAATGACTTACATAAAATTCTTTTTAATATAAAATTTATTAAATCTCATTTTTTTATAGCAGATTCACTGAAGTAAGGCTACATTTTGATAATGAAAAAACTTTTAGAATTGATACATACGTATCATCGTCTTTCACTTTTTATCATGTAATGTCACTGTCATGGTCATCGTGCAACGACCGTTCACGCATAGCCATCACCTTGAAAAGGAGTGGCTGAACTAAGAGTAGTTGGAACGCATTGCTTCGTAATTTTCCAATGAAATTCTTCTCAACACATACACTTGAGCACACACTTATAATGTCCATTCAAGAGTTTTACTGTTTGAAATTCACTTGCCAATAATATGCAGATAAATTTTTTTAAAACTAGTTTTCATGTACTGCTTATTCTCCTAGATACCATCGCGTCAATCTGCTAAATTCATAACATCCGTAGACACTTATGCGTGCAACGTTACTGCAAACAGCCGTCCTTAACGAAGCACTGTGCTTCCTAACTAAGTTAACATAACTGCTGACTGACCTCATAACGAGACATTACAAGGAATAAGTATTATGCGTCATAAAATTCATTAACCGTCTGGCTTTAGTAAGTAGCTCAAAGAAAAGTCATGGTTGATGATCGATGTGGTTTACCTCAATACGCTTGTTACAAAGCCGACAAAAATTATAGTATTGCTTTATCTGGTTATATTAATTTTTATTTCTATAAGATAAACCTGTAAGCTAAATAAAGCATAAAAAATGCTTAAAATTATTATAAAGAAATTATAGTGCACTTTTTAACAATTCTCTATCTATGACAGCTTTATTTTACAGTTACAATTAAGTTAATTCAGCATAAATTTTTAATAAGGTAAATTTATAAAATATATGTTCAAAATTATTATTAAAAACTTACAATGCAATTTTTTTATGTCTCTTTCTTGCAGCGTAAGAAAGATGTATTAATATTTCAGGAATTGAAGACAAGCGTTAAGGCAATATAAAAATGATCGATGACAAAATTGTTAAAGAGAATAGCATTGCATGAATCGATGTTAAAATAATAAATTGCATTAAACGTTGTGGACGCACCGTAAGCTAGACAGTAAGAAAGGCAATACAGGTTTATTGCGTCTTTGCTCAGTGAATCCAGTACGGAAGGAGCGAAGAGAGGGAAGAAGTAGGGAGCATCGTGCCGACCATCTTGGAAAATAAAATTCGCTGTAAAAATGCATTACTCTCCACTCCCCACCTTAGAATGCCCCTTCTTCCTAACCATTCCTACGAGTCTCGATTCCTTCAAGGACTAAAAATTCAACCCTTTACACTGGCGCGAGCAGAGAGCGCGAGAGCAAGACTGTTTAAATATAAACGTTAAACCTGATCTGTATCGCATTTAGATTTACGGATTACTATTCCTTTGCTTCTTCCAATTTTCATTTAAAGACTATGTTTGCTGCATCGATGACTTTATTTCTGCATTAATTAGTCACAAGTTTTTATCTTTTCAAGAAACATCGTTTACTATCGACAGTAATTGAAATATATTTGATATTATACACACATACACTACGCACACACACACACACACACACACACACACACACACACACACACACACACACACACAAACACACACACACACACATATTTATAAGCAGATGTTTCTTTTCCTAAATGATTATAAGCTATATCAATAAAAATTTATTATTAATCAATAATTATTTTCTATTAATAGTAAACAATTATAAGTGATAGCTTATAATGCATTACATAAATCTTTAATAGGAAATAAGATTACGATATTTATAGGAAATGTAAAAAAAATTGTAATTTATGCTTTTATTTTAGATTCTATTTCTCAGTATGCCTGATGGCGTGTACAAGTCAATCTTCGTGCTGCAAAAATGTATATGCCGTGCATTTAACTATGTTTATAGCTTTCTCGTTCTCTTCTCCGAGTACATCGCTCCTTACGCTAAGCGTACTTGTAAATCATAATTGTCAAATGATCTGAAGTAAATAAACTTCCTCAGCTTCGCGACAAGTAATTCATGTCGTAAACGTTCAAACGGTATGACTAATTTGTAGCATTAATTACGTTAAGGAAATTACACGTTGAGATAAATCGAGCGATCGATGCACCTGATGCCATTGCTATTTCCGCGCAGGAAACGCAACCGGTCAGCCACGGCGAACTCGTTGGCAGTGGAGCTCGTTACCTCGCAACCCCGAAGTAGGAGCGTAGAGGGGCATTGCAAAAATGGAAATGCCAAGCTGTTATTCATCTACAGGTTCGTTTCTTCGTCCGTGAACTGGCTACAGTCGGCGTGCTTTAGACGATGGTATGTGTATCACCATGCGTGAGGCATGGCTGACCATAGACCGGCTCAGAAGTGGCCGAGACATTCGCCTCTCGACCGCGACCATGAGAGCACTCAACTCTCGACGCCCACGGTCAACCGCGAGCATCTATCGACTCGTGCCTCGCTCGACTCTTTGTTTCTTCTTTCTGCTTTGCGTCCTTCATCACACACGAGCGCGAAGTGTGCCTCACGATGACGGCAGCGTCATTGTGGATCATGATAAGATTTCGAAACCGGTAGAGGTGAGTGATTCTGACAACGTAAACAAAGAGGATGTGGATCAAGCACGAAAAAGCTTGGTAATAGTAGAACATGATGAAGATGAAGATGTTAGTGAAGGAAGAAATAACTCAGAGGAAGAGATATTCATCGAGGATCCTGAAAAGATTCAGGCCGAAGCTGCCGGTGATGAAGGTAGCGTAGCGAAGAAGAGAAGACGAAACGATGTGAATCTTCCCAGTAAGCCCGTGTCGCAGAATGGCGAGACTGTCGCACAGAATGTTGAGGAAAAGAATGAAGGTATTCGAAGATTTGATGCTCAGTTCGAGTCTGACGATACTGAGACGATACTGGATCAACGGAATGTATCGGACAATAGAGAGAACAGTCAGGATTCACAAGAAGATACTATTAAAATTAATGTCGAGGAATTACATGCGGATGTAAAAAACGTAGACGTGCATGCCGAAGGTAGGGCGGAGCCAGAAGAAGAGAAGAACGTAGACACTTCTTCTAATCTTGGAGAAAATCTAGAAGATATTAAATTGAAATGCACGGATAAAATAGATTTAAACAAAGAAGAAACGGGGCAGATCGAAAATTTAGCGGAACATAATTTGGATGAGGCACAAATAGAGAATATCGAAGAAGTGAACGAGGACGTACGCAATGAGCTTCGTAGCTTGCAGCTTGCTCAAACGGAAGAAACCGAAAGTAATCAAGAGAAACATGTCGTGGAAGAAACTGAAAGTAATCAAGAGAAACGTGTGATCGACGAGGCTTCTAGCAATGAAGAAATCGGTGATGACGTAGATCTGGATCTGAACAGAGAAAATAGAGCCAGTGTAGTCCAAGGTAAGTCCAAGTACAAGAGTTCGACTGTTTATTTGAATGCTGAAGAAGGTAATTTGCCTGGTCGCGAGCAAGAATCGATTGTAGACGGTCAAATAAAAAAATTAATATCTATACGAAATGATGCACTTGAATCTGTCAGTAACGATGCGAAAGAGTCGGAAAAATTTGATGAAGAGAGTCTTCTTTCAGAAAAATTGGTTGAGGTTGAAGCGGTTGCAGCTGAAAAAGACGAAGAGATTCGTAATCAACGTAGCAGCATGGAAGTGACATCGACTCAAAGTGAGAATCTTGATCATTTATCTTCAACGACGGAAGCCGATTTAAACCGTTTTCAAAAATGGAAGAATCAAGCTGCGTTTCTTCAGGAACAAATCAAGAACAGAACATTTTTGCAGTATTTAAGAGAACAGGCAATTGAAGTGCTCCCTGATATTCCAAAATTTACAGAAAACCAGTTATTGGATACTTTGAAGAATATTGCGATAACGCGGGAATCACTTACGAATGAAACGTATTTAGCTAGCTTAAACGCGACCGAATTGACTAAAAACCAATTGGAAATAATAAAGTGTGCCGAGCAACTAGTACAGACAAAACAGCGCCAGTCGTTCGTGGAAAATATAGGGGAATGCATTCGCGGTCTCAGTGTCTTTAACTGCATACGCATCTTTGTCTGGCCCGTCGTGCTTGACAATCTCCCGGAATCAGTTAAGCAGCCTCTGAATTATCTGCCAATCGAGGTAAACTTAATGAATTTATTTCAGGGTAACAAAGCCAAATCTGCGAGATCAGAGAACAGCATTCATCATCCATGGTTGATAACGCCTGAGTTCGTTGTTTTCAACATTCTGAAGGGTGCTTTGGAATCGAAAGTCACCTACGACTTGATGCCGACTTTCATTGATCCATCGAACGAAACCCTGAGGGCACTGCTCACTATCGGCCAACTCCAAATTTTGCAGATGGCTGAGAAACTTTTACCCGGTGAGAGGCGTCGCGAATATGCCGACAGGATGTTCTCATGCGTACGTAGATTCGAGTACTTCAGCTGCATCAAGTATTTTGCCTGGCCAATGGTGAAACAACATTATCCGACACTGCCGGCTTTTCCGGATTATCAGAATTGGTATCCGTCAATACCGTTGTATCCGCAGTACCCTATCATTCCCTTTCCCAGTTTTGTGGGAACTCCTGGCGAGCTTCCAGAAGTCATTGAAGCTGACGCCACGAGAATGCGGAAGCCCAAGCCGGAAGCTGTGATCGTGAACATTCTTCAGAATACCTTGAAGGAGCACGCGAAGGTTCCTCCTCCATCTATCACTCATACAGATTCTTACATTGCTGTACTTCCTCCGGAGCAATTACTGTCGATCCACATGGCTGAACAGCTACTTCCTATCGCGTATCGTCCAGAATTTGTTCAGAAGACTGTTAAGTGTATTCAGGAATTTAATTATGTAACCTGTTTTAAATATTCCACCTGGCCGACGGTCAAGCAATTTATTCCCAATCTACCGGATATTTCCGAGTGGCTACCGGACTGGCAATTACCCGATTTCTTCGGTTTGTTGCCAAATTTTCAGATTCCTGATTTTTCATCAATTTTAGGAGGAAGCCAATCACCGACTTTACCGATTCCTCCGACTTTACCAAATCCACCGACTACGACGACACCGCTAGTCACTGAAAATCCATCTGAATCCGCTGGTGCAGAAAAATTATCCAATCGGATTCCATTATTATCGCGCCAAAATGAAATTTCTTCTAAAGCATCCAGCGAATTAGAAAACAAGGTTACGGAGATTTTAACAAAGGTACATAATTCTCTGAAAGCGACATCGAAAAATTCGCATTTAATCGTCAACGAAAATGTCATTGTTCTGGCAACAATTACTGAGAAACAACTTAATATACTACAATTAGCGGAGAGCATGGTACCACCTCCGGCTCGGGCACCTCTTGTAATTCAAGTTATGTCTTGCCTCCAGGCAAACAACGACTTTCTCAATTGCACTAGATACGTCATTTGGCCCACAGTTGCTCTTTACGTTCCTAATTTCCCTGAATTTCCTGATTTCTCATCTGCTCAACAACCATCAAAACAAGAAGACCAAATACCATTAAAAGACAAGAACATTTCAACTATCAAGGATCAGCAGGAATGGAATAAATCGCAAACGAATTCCAACGTGAAGATTATTTCTAGGACGAAATTTTCACCTAATAATGGTCCTGTGATTAGTATTACTGGTACCCGATTTGTGCCGATATTTACAGAACATCCTGAATCGGTAATACTTAACATTCTCAAGACGATTCAGCTATCTTCGCCAAATGTAAGAGATGAGCAGAGTGTGAAAATAACCAGCACGCAACACTTTGATCATCTGCTTAATGATCAACAATTGACTATTCTTAAGATAACAGAGGGCTTACTACCCGATGCAATTCGTTCTGCTTTTATCGATCGAATGATAGAATGTATACGCAAGAACAATTTTCTAGGATGTTCAAGGACGGTATTGTGGCCGAGTTTATCGAAATATTTCCCTAGATTGCCCAGCTTTCCAAATTTCGAAGGACATCCTCAAGCAGCAAACAATACTAAGACTACATTACCTCAGAATCTGACTGATCCATCGCCGTTGTCGGAGACTGATGTGAAAGTCGGTCAGCACGGAGATGCTACTGTTACCATTACAGATACTAGATTTTATCCGATTTTTTCGGAACATCCAGAAGGTGTAATTTTAAGAATACTTAAAACCGTGCAACATTCTACGCCGGAAGTCCTGCCTTCAATGATTACTTCAAGATCGCCGCATATAACGTCTTATTTTACGGAACAGCAAGGTAATATCGTTCAAATTGCCGAAAGTCTATTACCGGAATCAGTAAGACCAATCTTCGTAGAGAGGATGATCGCTTGTGTTCGAGAGAGTACATTCCTCGATTGTATGAGGAATATAGCTTGGCCGACAATTGCTCAATTTTTCCCGAGATTGCCAAACTTTCCCAATTTTGAAAATTTTCAAATTCTACCAAGAACTAAACTCGATTTATCATCGATCATACTACGCAATGCTTATTCCGATAATCAGACATCCAATGAAAAGAGTGAAAATATATCAAAGATTGCCATAAAAACAATTGAGGATAAAATAGAGAGTACATTGAAAGATTTGCTGAGTAAGAACTCATCACCGCGTTTAGAAGATTCTTATCTAGACGTCAATAATCCTGTGATAGGCACTTTTTTGACTGCTCAGGAGATGAACATTGTCAGATTGGCGGAAAGAGCAATACCGGATTTGATACGTCGCGAATATGTAACTAACTTGTTGGACTGCGTGAGAAGAAGCAATAATTTCATGACCTGCACCCAGCATGTCACTTGGCCAATTTTGAAGCAATTTTCGCCAAGTATACCAAGCCTCGAAGAATTGTTCGGTCAGCTTCAAACTCCTAGTGCTGGTCAGATTCCTGGTATAAGCCTAATTCCTGGTTCTGGTCAAATTCCTGGTATTAGCCAAATTCCCGGCTCTGGTCAGATTCCTGGTATAAGCCTAATTCCTGGTTCTGGTCAAATTCCTGGTATTAGTCAAATTCCCGGCTCTGGTCAGATTCCTGGTATAAGCTTAATTCCTGGCGCAGGTCAAATTCCAGGTACCGGCCAAATTCCTGGAGCCAGTCAGATCCTTGGTATAGGTCAATTTCAGATCCCTGGTCAGATCCCGAGTTTTCCTGGAAATCCTTTCGCCGAGCGTCCCGGCATACAGTTTCCTCTCCCTCAACGTCCTACAATACCGAGTGGAATTCAAACTGGCATTCCTCAGTTTCCTGGATTGCCTAGCTTTGGCGGCATAAATTATCCGCAAATTCATATCCTGTCGGACGCGCCGAAAGAGTCGAAGTTGCAGGAGCCAAAGTTGCAGGAATCGAAGTCGCAGGAATCGAAATTGCAGGAGCCGAAGCCGCAGGAGCTGAAGTCTCAAGAGCAAACAATTCAGTCGAAAGTTGCGCATGCAGTGGAACAGGCAAACCAGATAAGTGGAGAATCGAGGGCTTCGAACACTGCGTCAGTAGGTGAATCAGTCTTATCCGCTAAACACATATCGACATCCCTTCTCAATATTCAGTTCATTAATCTTTAATTTTGTTTATTTTACCTAGACAAGCAAGGAACCATCCCCAAGTATCTTGGACAATCATCAAACATCCTCATAGATTCCAAGGAAAAAGTCCAGTTATCTGAATTTAAGCAACAACCATTGTCGGAGTCCGTTCCTTCAAGCGAATCATCCAAGAAACACGAAAGAAAACGAAGAAGTACTGATCAATTATTAAATTCTTACTATGAGACCGAAGGAGAAATTGAACAGACTTCGGAGACGACAATGGATAGCATGTTCCCGAACATCACGGAATCCGACTTTCTTCAGCTTCTAGTTAATATTTCCAAATCTGAAAAATTTTTGGAAGAAAACTCTAAAGATAATTCAAAGGAATATTTTGTTGATACATTAAATTATACAATCAGAAATTCTCTAACTGCCGATCAGTATGAAATCTTGAAGCTGGTGGAAGATTTGAACGAACATACGGCAAATCGCAATTTTCTATCACGAGTAGTTCGATGCGTACAGAGCTTGAGCTTTATCAGATGCATGGGCATTTTCGTCTGGCCAGTAATTACTAGTATTGTGCCATCTATCTTGCCGTCCTTACCCTCATTTCCTATTGGTTTCGGAAGATCAATGGAAACTGAAGTACAGAATTTCTTCGGTATGTCCACAAAGGATTTCGAGAAGGAATTATTGGCGAGAAAGAAATCAATGGAAAATATTTTCTTGGACTGGTATAAGACAGCGATGGAGGATAAATTTCAAATAGATATGGGTTTCCTAAAGCTTAAGGGTTACGGGAACGGTGAAATCGGTATAAGTTTCAATGGCTTTCGCGAAGGGAGAGCTACGAAGATCAAAGACAATAAGAATTTGCCGAGTATTTTGACGATCATCAGCGATATTATGGAAGAAGTATTAGATCAGCGGCCGGACAATGAGAAGCTGAAAAAAGAAAAAGAAAAAAAGGAGAGAAGTCTGGATGACATGCAAGATGCGAATTTTCAGCTTTTGCAAGAGAGCGAGTACACGGACATTAAGCGATCTATAAATGACGATAAGATAATCACTATGTTTCTAGATAAAATCAAGGCCAACGCAACGGACTTCGCTGATGGTGATGTTGCTCAGTTCCTTAACGTAGATAATGCTTACAATGCTTTCAGTGTACTCTTTGGGACCCGTTTAAACGAAAAGTTTGCGAGCAGATTAAAAGCCTTTACTGAAGAACATCTTAGAAGAGATAATACTGAGAAGCATATGAAAAATCTTAGCACGGAGGAAATAAAAGTACCGTTGAAGGAAGAAATGACCTATGAGATTCAAAAAGAATCTGTAGAAAATGACAAACGCAAAAGAGATCATCGTGCAAAGAACGAATTCAGATCTTTGCTGAATGAATATTCAGAGGATTTAGAAAAGAAGGTGGAAGTTTCTATGCAGAAGAACGAGGATCCAGATAATGAAAATAGGATCAAAGATACCGAATCGTCCTCTGACAATAATGTGCGTTCAGAACTGAGGGTTTACTTACCACGTTTGCAAGAAGACATTATGTCCAAGAAAATCACGAGTGCGATGATACATCTCGGAAGAGCGTTGAAGACAAAAATGAGTCATTTGACACCTGGAATTGGTTTCATAATAACTTTCATCATCCAGATAGCTTTGGCTCACGCGAAAGCGGCTGCTTCCATAGCTGGTATGATCAGCAATATGGCCCTTGCATCAGCTATATTCGGTATGATTCGACAAAGTGTATTCGGGTCGGAAAATCCGAAGATCAAATATGTATACGATAATGATCAAACGGGTCCGGGGATTACTTGGCCACATCATCATAGATCATATTATCATCATGAGAAATAGTATTTTGCCTGCTCAAGTCTTATTTTTTATGTACACTATATTAAATTTCCATACATATGTTTTGTTAAGAGCTTTATATAAGCCTCTGTTGTTACAGACTTTTCTTGAAGTCTGAAACAAATAGAATTATATATTGGGTTAGCTTTAATGTTTTTATATTAGTATTGTAGTGGTCGCGTTTATAAGACAATGTAATTTCGAGATAACTACTCGATTTCTTTGCATAACAAAATTTTATTATTTCTTAAAAAAAGATTAGTCGAAAAGATAGATATTAATAGTTTCTGTAGATGCGTCCGGGACATTGTTTCTCGTAATATATCTTATTTACACTTTAGTAACACAGAATTCAAGTAGAGCATTTTCAAAAGTTAGAATAGATAATATTTAGAATCTTCTGAAGAAAGGTATTTTCGTAGATGATATGGAAACAATCCCTCGCAATTTAATCATAAAACACGCGCCATTTCGCAGGTGATATTTATTTCATATTTTATGGTGGTGGGTGATATTTTTTTAAAGATTAAGACATAAGTACGGCATTAAAAAATATGTAATACGTAATACAGAATGTATCGCAGAAAAAATATTGAATAGCGTAAGTTTTTTTTAAGACTGATATATTCTTAAATATATCTGATTAAAAATAAATGAATTATATCTATCTTGTATAATCTCTATTGTCCCTTCAAATTACAATTATCAATTAATTAATTTTAATGTTATTTTATTTTTTAATAGAATAAGCATTTTAATAACATTATAAAGTTTTGTTACATTTATATTATAAACAATACAATTATTACAATTTTAATTCTTGAAGTTTTTAAAAATATATGTCTAATTTGATTTGTAGAATTCAATGAAGAAGTAAATATAATAAATTTTATGCGTGCGCTGCAATATTATTCGAAAATACTGGTGCTGCAACTTTCAAGAACCTTGAAAAGGCAACAGTCAGGAATAGACCTGAGATTATTCTGGACTACCACTGAAGGTCTTCTCTCTCTTTTCGTGTATTTCCTCTTTCTTTTATTTATTTCATCAGTTTTGCATGCGGCAAAAGACGTACTGGGATGCAATAAGAGCACAAAAGAGACTAGAGTTAAGATCATGATACAACACGCAACCGTTAGAATGTTAAACTACTACGAAAGCAGAATAATTTTATTACTTTAGAATTCTATAAATATTATTTTTCGATATTTCTTGCATTGCATATAAGTGTAAAACTACGAGCAGGAACTCTAAATAAAAACTCTAAATAAAAACTCTAAATAAAAAAGACAAAAATAATTGGATTCAAAAGTTGGACACACGCTTAGTACAGCGCTGTGTCATAAGCGACAGAGCTCGGTTCTACGTCAAGATTAATTTTAATCTCGGTTTAATTTACACTTTATCTTTTTAAGAAATAAATAAACAGCAAACTAAAAAAGAGAAAAAAGTAAAATAAATTAATTCCAGTCAAACTTATTTAACGAATAGTAATTTCATTCAATCGGAATAAATGTAAAATGTTTAGAACGTAAATATCTAGCGTAAGATAAGATATTTTTAGTCAATCACGAACGGCCAAATGGAAGGTACTACATCTTCTTGAACCATTTTTGATTCTTCTTCCTCTGGGATTTCTTCTGTGATCGTCCTCGGTTCGATTTCCGCAGAATAAGTTAATTCATTCAAGTAATACCTTCAGTAAGTAATTATTAATTATATGATAGAAATTATATGATAGAAATGCTTATGATATGATTCATTTAAGTATCATAAAATAAAAATATATATATACATATATACCATTCGTGAGCGTGATGACAGTCGATATTTTCCTCGTCCGTGCATATCCGCTGTTTTTGATCAAACACTGTATCGTTAGCGCAGATCACTGGGAATCCATCACCGAAATTTTCACAAACATGAAATATCCTGCAATTGTAATCTATGTCGGCATAAAAACCGGATGGCATATCCTTGCAAGTAAAGCGAAAAGTTAGATTGGCGAAGATATCGATCATCATATCATTTTGTTCACTTGATATTTCCTCGTAGGTTTCCAGATGATTTCTATCCTATGTAAAACATAGTAATTTGTAATTTTTAATTTTAATTACAAAATAAAGATATATTAAAATAATTTCAAAGTAATTAAAAAAAATTCTTACGAAATGGCCTAAAGTAAATTGATTTGTCACTTTTGTATCTGTATAACAAAAAAGATATACATAAAACCTAACTTCCTCTAAATAATAGAAAATGTAGAAATCCTCAAGTAATCGAAATTTAATATAGAACTAATTTTAAAACTTACTCAACAATAATGAAAAATTAAACACGTATATTATAAAATAATTCATGTTAATTGTAATTTTTAAAACGAAAATTTTTTAATTCTTGATACCGAAATTACAACTCAATATCAGCTAACACTATCATTCACTATTACTCGATGGATAACGCAACCGACTGCGCGACTACAACTACTACTATTTGTCTGAAACTGCAGAACACGAAGAGCTCAATGACCTTAATAGCCATGTAATTTCTGAAAAGGCCCGTCATTCTCTCTCATTATTGTTTAAATGACACTTAACTATCGCATCCTGCTTTGCTAAACGATATTTTCGAAGAATCAAAAGAATATTCTAAGAACAAAAAAATCCGATTAATCTTCTCTATAAAGAAATTAAAAATGGCTTAATAAATTTGTTAATTAAAAAGAAAAAGTGATAAATATAAATTTATTACAAAGAAATTTGTGTTAAAATTAAAATTTTCTATTATGAAGAAAATAACATATTTAAATTTTTTCGAGATGTTTATTTTAAATTAATCTGTGCACCAACAGATGTCGGCTTCATGCTATAAATTACATGACTCGGTTGTACCAAGGTAACTATGTAAAGAAACTTTCACTAGCATCAACCAATCCTAAGGTGTACTTGACAGCTAACTTTCTTCAACACGAGAATTTGCCGTTACGTACTAAATTAAATATAACGTTATGCATTAAAGTTATGCAATAATATTTATTTATTCATTTATAATTGTTTATAATTTGAAAAACTTAAAAACAATGCAAACCAAAAGAATATAAAGAAATATTCAGAACTTGTGTGTGACAACTTCGAATCAATAACACTTTTATAATTTTTTGATGTTCTTAAAAAGAAATCTTAAAATTGATCAAGTTGAAACTTTTTTTAATTATTCATTAAACAGAATAAGACAGAAATTTTTTACATACTTTATTATTATAATTTTTTATTATTAATTTAATTTTGTCAGGTTACTAATAGCAGCTTATCAGTCGAAGATATGTAGCATTTTATCAAAATGTGATGTGAGACAAGACTCTCCTTCTTTCTCTCGCAACGACAAAGGTGGGATGTCTACGAAAGGATAGCGTATCAACTGCCAATGAGGGAGGCCTTACTTCTGAAGCTGCCTTTCTCTTTGCCTCCGTGCCTCGGTTCAGTTTTCACGGCAGCTTCAGCCAGGAATCACATGAAGAATGTCTTGAAGACACACGAAGGTGAATTCAAAACGTGTACTCCTTTCTGTTCTTCTTTCTCGCTCTTTCTGCTTCTGCATGGTGGAAGAAAAAGGACAACCCGTTCGACTGCGAAAATGTAACTCTGAGGATACCAACAGTGCATCCTTGAAAAAAATCACAACGACCTTCGCGCTTTTAAAAATCGTTGGGCAAAGTGTAACAAGGTATATCGCGACTTGTGACAAACGATAATATTATAATCTATATCTATTATCTTTAAATTGCAAAATGTTCGAAAATATTGTTTTTAAAAATTTCGCAATTTACCGACTATTAGAGTAATAGCAAGTATGATGTATTATACTAATAATAAGGAACAGCTTATCAAACTGCTTATGTCAGATATGTCAGGCTATAGATTGAGATTAAAAGCAATTAGAAAAAAATCAATATCAAGTTTAGTAAACTTTGCTTTGATTGGTTAAATTCAATTTCAATTTTTAATACGAATATTAAACTTGTTATATTTTTAAATATAAAGATGCTAAATTTCGTAATGTTCGCAGCTGAATATCCACGTGTATTTAGGCGCGTCATCTCTCCGCTCAGCGATTTTAACGCATGTACAAAACATTACGCTTCTATATTACTTGAACTAATTATCTTTAATACTTAACTAACTCACGAAGCTTTGCACAATTATTTCTATTTTATTTAGTTGCAATAATATTGTTCTTTATAATTATTCTAACTTGATATATTATACTACTTGATATAGTATTTAAATACAATATAAGTAAAATTATTTTTATTTTTTTAGAGAAGTCATTATTCAATATATAAGATTTTGATTGTTTTCACATAAATTTAAGATTCAGAACTTTGTAATGGTTTTCCAAGTAATGTTCTTCATAAATTACAAAATTTTATATAATAATCAAATATAAATTAAATCAAATTCACATATTCTTTACTTTATTAAAAAAAAAAATTTCTTAATAATTACTATACATATAACATTTGTGAAAGGAAAGGTGTTACAAAAATCGTATAGTAAACGAATATAGGATATTATATGATGCGGTATTTGCAAGGATATTATCGAAAATATTCTTGTCTACTATGTTAAAGAAATGCACAGAAAATGCATCTCATTTTGACGAGGCAGTTTCTTTTATAATGAGATTTAATTTTAATACTTAACTGCAAATATTATAAGTTAGTAGTGATACATTTTCTTTACATAAAGCCGTCTATCTTTGCTACGTTAACACAATAGCTCTAATTAATAGACTTTCAGAAAGTGGAGCGTGGAGCAAGTTCTTTTTCTCTCCACTGTCATTCTTTCCGCTTTCGAGAAGCGGAAGTCTCACGTTCGGGAAAGCATACTGTTTATTGATAGCTTCTCGAGTTTCTAAATATTTTTAAGTCGATACAAATATAAGCAAAAAATAACAAATAACCGTTCGAGTTTTGATCCAGATACACGAGATAATTTAATAATAAATAATCGAGTTGCCGATGCATTACATCAATGGTACCAGATTCGTTTATTTTTCTTAGATCTGATACGAGTTTGGTGTCACGAGAGACTAGCGTGATTCGGTCCAGTGGTTAGTTCCTTGGTTTGAGATAGAAAGATCAACTAAAATAAGTGAAAGGCGCGTATGTTTTTCCCAACGTACCGTTTTACTTCTAAACGTTATCGTCTCATCAATTTTAGATTTGCAGATTTTCTTGACAACTTAATATTCTTACTCTCCTAAGAGAAACGCCTAGTTGGATTAATTCTGATTAAAAATGGATAAATCTAAATTTTCTGATTAAATTTATTAGAATTGTAATTAAGTGGAATTTTGATTAATCTAATCTTCTGGTGCGCTCATTTTTTTCAACAAAATATTTTTCTCAGTGTATAAATATAAATTTATTAATATACTTTTACTTGGCATATATCTTGTCTGAAATAAAAATAATAAATTTTCCTCATAATGCAAACGCTGATGTTTTTCTTACATATCGTGCTTATATACACATTATATAGTGAGCATTATAAACTGATGCGTGAACTAGATCATCGTGTTTTTCTTCTTGCCTGTTTGAATTACTAGAGCTATAATAAGACATATTATAGTTTTCCATTTCTCAGATCGACGAGTCCCACGATTATTTTAATTATAAGCTACTGTTAATTGCGGGAGCCTCGCTGCTATGCGAAGATGATCTCGATTGTTAGACATTGGAATATATCGAAAGTGTGTGTAAATTGGCAATTCAACTTTCATTATTAATTACCATACAATTGTTAATTAATAATAAAATACACTGCAAATGTTTTTCATATAATAAAAAGAATATGAGAGATTAGACTTTCTTATTCGACTTCTTATTAGACTTAGATTCAACCGGGAAAACATAGGAAACAGATTAATAATTGCATCAAAATATAATTGATTATTAATGATGACAATTGTATTTTTTTTCATGGCCTATTGATATCTTTTCAAATCCACCCACAGAGCATAAAGAGCATACGATGATCTTTGAAAGGAGGTCGGTTATTATACAAAAATTATATTTGCTAATCGTTCAAGTTTCGAAAGAAGGACAATCAATTTGCAATAAACCGCAGTGCAGCACCATTTCACGCAACCATTAATTTTCTATCGAAATTTTATGCATGGTTACGCAGGTGGTTCATCATTTTCGCGATAGTACACAGTGAAAACGCATTGGTCTAATTGCGTTAACATTTCCGGATGGACAAGTCGTCGCTTTCATAATTTTCTTTTGCAAGATGCACACGAGGCAAATTGTGAGTGACGTATGAGTTAAACGTCCCTACTATAGCTTATAATTTGTTACGTGACAGAAAGCGCGATTGCCGTAGTTGCGTGCCTCCTTTCTAGAATCGCGTGGGAGACGCTATCGTCGGTACACGATCATTGTATTAATTATGATTGAAAAATGAATAGACAAAGCATGATCCATGAAAGTATCATCCATGAGATCTTGATCTTTTGCGTTTTTTCTTGCTACGCAGTGATCAGCGCGTAGGTCTCATTTTGTGTGGGTTATATCTCCTGAAACAAGTAGTCTCGTCTTCAAGGACGTTTTTGGGCTATCGTGATAATCTTAGCGGTTAGTCACCTCTGCGCCTCGGTATCAAGAAATCACAGGATATCTCAGCAACTCGCGTGGGATAATAAGTGGTGAGATCGGATCGCGAATTGAGCGACTGATGTAATCGTTTTTGCTTAAACACAGACAACAGGAACTTCGAAGGGCCGTTTAACAATTCATTCGCGAAAGATTGCGCAGAACAATTGCGATTTTGAAGCAACTGCGATTTTATTAAGTGCATAAGCTGCATGGTTATCGGCGTATCGATCTGTTGCGTACATTAACCAATGGAGTTCACGTAGCGAAAACTTTCCCACATTTCTGACGAGACGTACGTTGCATCACGGAGTGACTAATTGAAATGCTCATTTTACAAAGATATTACGAGTTTGCACCTTATCTATATAAATCAAACTATTATCAATCTTTATAATATAAATAACATAGATTTTAAGTAACATAGATTTTTTTCAACGTAACTTACTATATGTATTTATTATAGAAATTATGTAAATTATACTACGTACAATTCTCTTATAACAGTATTTTTTCATGTAAAATTTGTTATATGTTTGAACTCATGTCAGTTATTATGTAATTATAAAGTGTAAGCGCGTAATATATAATTATATAATTACAGTATCTAATTACGAAAATATTAAATGGATTTCTTTTTATTTGTACTTTTCAAAACAGGTATTAAAATGTTATCTCCACTATTGCTATTGAGTATGATTGTGTCCATAATGGGCGGCTACGTGCCGCCTGGACCAAGATTCGGATGCCCCAAAGACGCGATTTACATTTATCCCTGCACTTGTCTTCGGGGCAGTGACAGAGGTTTATACATCCGCTGTGAGAATACGAATCTGGCTAGTCTCAGTATTGCCTTCACGAATCTGGGAAACGAGGGCATGCCGATTGAGGAACTGGTTCTATATAAGTGTAACATAGGTGAGTCGATTTAATCACGTCGTAAAAAAAAGAAATTTGCATGTAATATTCATGGAAGATGATGATAAGTCGATTGAATGAACTTTTTTATTCCATTTTTATTAATTGGCAGTACGATTCTACGGGCCCGCTTTGTATCCATTGGATGTGCGAGTACTCAAGTTTATCGATACGCCATTGAGATTGATCGAAGAGCACAGTTTTCTTGGCGTGAACCGAACTCTTCAGGAACTTTATGTAATAAACAGCAATCTGGAAAAATTTCCTCGTGAAGCACTACAGATCCTCGGCAATCTCAGCCTATTGAGCATCACGGGGCACCGGATATCTGCCTTGCTGGGAAATAGTTTTAGTGAAAGCTCGGCGGCTGCGAAGCTAGAAAAATTGGAGATTAGTAACGGTAATCAGAATCTCATCGCGAGATATTGTTAGTGGAAAACGCACCGTTTTATTATACAGATCTTGAAAGTGATACAATTGTATAAACTCAATTTTTGATATTACATATACAAAAAATAATATTTTCATCATATATAATTTTTTATGTAATACTTATATATAAGAACATAATTATAAAAAAATATCAAATTAAAATTCTTGACTTTTATATTTTTTAGGTACACTTTCTTCCTTACCTGTGGAAGCATTAATGCCACTCAAGAAACTTAAAACCCTTGATCTTCATGGCAACAAAATAAAAGACTTGAAGAGGAATCAATTCAAAGGTCTAAGAGACACCGAGTTCTTGGATATCTCTCACAATTTAATCGACAAATTAGATCCGTCCCATTTGGCCGATCTTGTCAAAATGGGATGGTGCAACATATCGCATAATGCTATCGCCGATTTGAAAAGGTTGACAGACTTGAAGAAAACTACTTATCATAAAATTTTTCGCAATGTACCTAAGATTATTTCTTTCGTTTTAGAGGAACCTTCGCCCGGAATTCCGTCTTGAAAGTCTTAAATTTGAGTCACAACAAAATCAGGAAACTTGATTCAAACACTTTCCGTGGCATGCGTTTTCTTAGACGGTTATATCTGAGCGACAATCAAATCGACGACGTGGGTCGTGGAACTTTCGGTTCCATTACCAGAATCGGCACCGTCGATCTTTCCCGGAACTTCATCAAGAAAATCGATTTCCAAATGTTCAATCAGTTACAATTTGCTGAGGTATCTGAAATAATTATACTTGCAAATAATTATCTCACACAGTTTTTCTTTAACCTTCTAGGGGGATGACATCATCTTATCATTAAAAAAACAATTCTTTTATTGATTTTGCTAAAAAAATATCTTATGAGTGAAAAATCCATTTATATGTATATATTTTATCGATATACATTCTTTCTGGCAGTAGAAGTATATTTTAATGTTCAATATTATATATATTTTTATTTTTAATATTTTTAAGTTTCATTAATCTGTAGAGTCGAATTTATCACAAATTTAATTTTAAAATAAATGTTACAATATGCACTCGAAAGGATTAATACCAAATTTGTCGTGATAGCTTATAGATGTTTCTGAGAATTTTGTAACAATCGTGGAGAAATTGGCGTTCAAAGATATTTATCTGGCGAAAGTGAATCTGTCTCACAATGAAATTTCAAAGATTGAATCAGGCGCTTTCGAGAATTGTGCGAATATTACATTATTGGATCTCAGTCACAACAAGCTCGAGAATATCTCAAAGTATTCTTTCGATAGTGCGTCATATGCTATGGAATTGCAACTTAGTTATAATCTATTTACATCTCTAAATCAGGTGAGTAAAATTTTTTATGGAAACGATAAAATAGTTCACATTATTTCATTAAGATATTTATTTTTATTCTAAATACTATTGACATTCTTTTTTTGTAGATTCCAATGCACAACATGACGGGGTTGAAAATCTTAAACGTTTCCCACAATTTGATACATTCCGTTCCACGACAGACTTTTCCAAAGCTGTACGAGCTCCACACGATCGACATATCGCACAACAATCTATCCGATATTCATAACGCCGTATTTCAGACGCTCTTCAGCTTGAGATTCTTGAATATGTCATATAATTCTCTAGAGAAAATAAAACCATCGACGTTCGGACCACTGCCGACGCTTCTAGAACTCGATATGAGTTACAATCAATTAAACGACATTGCACGAGGTAGTCTCACTCGATTAGCTAGTTGTAGGTGAGTCACTATTGATTAATAAAATTGAAAAATGTTATGCTTGCAATGACATGTCTATTATATTTTAGGAGTTTAACGGTGAAAAATAATCGTTTGACAAAGATTTTCCAATTGCCAATTTCTCTGGGTCATTTGGACTTCTCGGAGAATCTGTTGGAAGAGATTCCGAGCACCGATGTATGGCCTACGATGAATGCATTGCTCTCGCTAGATCTTTCGCGGAATCAGCTGGGCGATAACTTGCAAGAGGGGAGCTTCGAAAACCTGCTGACCTTGAGAATCTTAAACCTGCAAGCGAATAACATTACAAAGCCGCCTTGGCAAGCACTCGGTGGTCTGAGCAGTTTGCAGTATCTTTATCTGCAGGTAAGACAAGAGAAACTTTTATGGGGGAATTCGTTCTTCTTCGAGGATCAGTAATTTTCTGAATTTTTACTGATGGATATATTTCAGAATAATTACTTGACGAAACTGGAAAAAGCCGCCTTCGGCCGTCTGCCGATAGTATTTGAGCTGAACTTGGCAAACAATAAAATAAATAACATAACGAGTCGGGCGTTCGAGGGCTTGTTGCAGTTGCTAACGTTGAACTTGACGAACAACAACATTAGCTACATACCGAACGGCGCGTTTCAAGGTCTAGTATCTCTACGAACACTCGACTTATCGCATAATAAATTGGAAAAGCTGGATAACAAGACGCATGGACTGCTCGATGATTGCCTATCTTTGGAGAGACTCAACCTTAGTCATAACGAAATATCATTTATCACCCGGAAGACTTTTCCAAATGATCCCTGGATTCCTTATAGACTAAAGGAAGTCGATTTATCTTATAATACAATGCCGGTCATTACTTTCGATTTCATCGCCGGTGCTAAAAAGATTCAGTATTTGAATCTTTCTCATAACAATATTGATGAGATCAGAAGATGTGAGTAGTAAACCAGAAATGTCGTTTTTAATAACTTCGATAACTAATCAGGTTGCTATATAACGGCCTCAGCTTATCCTTTCTACTGAGAATCGTCGTTTACGAAAACATTGCCTTATTTCAGATGTAATCGGGAATTTAACGGCTTTGCAGACGTTGGATTTATCGTATAATGACATAAGTGATATCTCCGATCAAGACATCTTTCTTCCGCCATTAAATTTGACCAACTTGCATCTGAGTAACAACCATCTAAGCCATGTGCCTCTCGACAAAATTCTATCGCTGCCGAATCTAAAAGTTCTCAATCTGGAAGAAAACGAGATCGGTGTTTTCGATGAGAAGTTCATGAAGATTATTCAAAATGGCACGGTGTTCAAATACTCCGGTAACAAGATTTAGATTCAATAATTAGGATTCAATAATTAGGATTCAATAATTAGATAAAACACATAATTAAGGACTTTAAAGGATTTTAAAAACTATTTATAATCAAGTTTTTTGTTATATATCAATATGCCAATATTTAAAATATATTTATATTAGGTAATCCTATGCATTGTGATTGTCATGTGCGGCCATTGAAGAGATGGCTAAAATCTCAAACGCAATTTCCAACGGAATGGTCGAACGTGATGTGTAAAAGTCCAAATTATCTCGCAAATAAATTTATCTCGGAAGTAACCGAGGATCTTACGAACTGCGGCGAGAGGGATATTCAAGAGGAGCCCGAACTCGACATCACACCTGATGTGAAATATCGAAGCATTGATTAGTATGTAATATATTTCATTTATTAATTTCTGTTATCATGAATATATCGTTTAAAATTTTCTCGAAGACTTCGGAAATGATGAATTACAATTTTCTTTAGCAATACCGATGATAAAAGTTGGAAAGCGACATGGTACGTAACATCGCGCGAAGATATCGGTGATTTCTATGTAGTAGTTCGGGAATCCGGTAGCAGCAAATCTATGCTCGAAAAGGATATTGTCTACAGCGAAAGATCCTTCAAAATCAACGATCTGAAGAGATCAAACACCAAGTACGAGCTCTGCGTACTCGCGCGTGATTCTGAAGGGAACGTCAAGCACTATAGAAATTCCCAGTGTCAGATTTTGAATCAGCACTCCAGCTCGACAGACAGTCTCAGGGCAAACTTGTACTTCGTGATAGTCGCTGCTTCCTTTTGCACTCTTATGAGATTTCGTTAACCTGACGAAATTAGTATTCGTAGTACTTAGAAAAATATCTTACGTTTCGTGGAGATAAACAGTAAGATAAACACACGAAATTATTATCTTTAAGTATCGCTAGTTAAATTTCCGATCGTTCTTCTATTTTAGATTTTTATCTATGTCGCGTTGAAGCGCGATAAGCGATGTGATTGTACAATAAATTAATAAATGTATATTTCTCGAGAAGACGTCCAGTAAAGAAGCTAACGTTTCTTGTCGTTATTTTAACGTCAAAATAACATCTTGAAATGATGTCAAAATGATGATAAGAACTTCAACTTGTTTGCTAGGTGATATACTATGTGCGTTGTACATAAAACGTATTGTATTTTGCTCGGAAGTAGGGACGTTGAACGTCGTGTATTTATTTTTGTAAAATATATATCTTGTACAAGTCATATATTATTATCATTTAACACGAATGGATTAACCAAAGATGTCAAATCTTGAGAGTTGTTCTTTTTAAAGAATATTCTAAACTGGCGTAATAAGTTGGATTGAAACAAACTATATTTGTTTTTAACTTATTGTATAAAAAAATGTATACCAGTTAAAAATATGCTTTGAAAAAGAACAACTCTCAAGATTTGACAAGAAGAGATATTTCTAACGGCTGTGATTCTTGCGATAGTTTGCAATTGTTACGTGAACGAGAGTTGATTGTTACGAGATTATTACGAGACGATTAGTTGATGATAAGCAAGCGAATCCTTTTAATCAAGACCAATTAATCCCACGATATTAATTTGCCGTCGCGTAGTCGTTCTGTCGCGACTAATAAAGCACTCGCGCGACTTGCTGAAAAAATTCTCAAGGAAGTCAGCGGTCTCCCGAGCTTTGCGTAGTAAGATTATTTCATTATCTCGTAAGGAGACCGTAATTAGTATCCACGATAACGTACAGTGTGTTTCGTATTAACGAACAATGTGTTTTGTATAAAAAAAAGGGGAAGAGAGATCTCTAATGAGGGCGTGGAAATCATTGTTTCCGCAAAAGGGCACGCCATCATGAATTTATTAGCATTATTGGAAATCGAACGTAATAGCCGATTAGATTCGCTCGCAACGACGACAATGTTGATTTTTTCTTTATTATTCGCATTTCGTTAACGCAATGCGCAATTATTGGTTACCCCCCACGTAATCATGAGAGAAAGAGACAATATTGTGTGCACGCGAGTTCGGTGGATTAACGGGAATTTAAATTATACGACGCACGGCGTATTTGATTAATATAGCTTCGGTTGGCATACCAGAAAAAACAATGCACACACGCCTCTTGCCGTTCTGCTTGACGGCCTGCTCAACGGCTTGCCCTCTCAATTGAGATTAACGTCGGTTTAACGCTTAATTAACGAAGTATTTCGCAGCAAAAAGCGCCGTTCTTTGTTGTTTTATCAAAGTTACAAATGCGATTTTATGACAGTTAAGAATGTGTTTTGCAATCTCATCTTTATAAATTTATATAAATATATAAAAGCTTTCTTATATTATTTTTATTTCTTACATGGTAAATTTTTATAAAATGTGAATCAGTGGAGATGAAATGCAAATAAAAAAAAAAGAGAAAAACGTTAAACATTAAACTAATATGTTTCAGAAAATTTCTATATTTTGCAATTCTTAAATTCGCAATATCTGCAAGATACAAGATTTTATTCCGATACCGATATCTGGTTACGAAATATCAGACACTTTCACCAGAAGCTCAATAATGGCTAAGAAGTATCATATACGACTAAGTACGAGTTCTCACGAAGAATCACGAAGATGATACTCGTGGGCCCCGTAGAACAGATATCCGCTTGTCTGAGTCTTGTTGAGGACCAGCAGACCTCGAGATTTCTTAGGTATGAGTAAATTTACATTTGTCTCTTCCCTCGTCGACAAATTGCCACGACAACACGTCGACATTATTGATTCTCATCGTAAAAATAGATGATTCAGAGAAAACAAACACATTTAAATTTTACATCAATTATATTGATCGAAAAAGTTCACACGCCTCTTCCATGATCCTATGTCAGCTTGTAATCATTTATTTTCTAAATTGCCAATAGATATCTATTAATAGTATTCGATAAATATCATCGTTAGGCTGTTAATATCGTTTTTTTTTATCTGCGACACTGGTCACATAAAGCATATGAATAAAGTAGGCAGAACACATTTACATACGCCGCTTTGGGCAATGACTCACGATGTATCCATGTAAGGCCCAGAGCGAGAGGTGCCGTTGGCCCCACACGCCTACATTAAAACGCTGCCCGCCCGTGCTTCGGCAAAAAACAAAAAGAAGAAGAAAAAAAAAAGAAATAAAAGGTAACTCGTTCCGTAAAAGGTTCTTCAGCACGATATCGATTCATGATTCGTTGAAATATCAAGGCCGCATTTGTGTGATCCGCCCAAATCCTGACGCAAGATCTCGCGTATCGTTATATCGGCGCAATCGATTGCAGGGTGATGGAACACGCCTCTATCTGAATACCTCGATGAATCTTTTTCGTATAAATCAATTAGCGCGTGGAACTTGTTATACCTTCCCGCGGTTATTCCGGCCCGCAAGCTCATTCCAGTTACCAGATAAGCGCGCCACGTACACATGCAAGCAGGAACGCATACGTGCAATTGTACCATTGCGATCGGTTTGCTGCGGCTGCCACTTTCTCATCCGTGTGTCTTTTGTTTCTCGGTGACAGTGGCGTACAGGGTGCCCCGTCATGCCCGCTACGAATGATACTGATGCTCATTTCTATCAAGATAGTTTAATTTTAATCTTGATTTAATTTACTCTTCATCTTTTTCTAGTTCTAAGAATTAGAAAAAAATGCTGAGTAAGTTGAACTGAGATTAAAGTTAATCTATATTGGTAGAAACAGGTCGAGTCCAAATCCGGTTAACACGTTCATTTCTACTAATATAGATTAATTTTAATCTAAGTTTAATTTATTCTCCTAATCTTTTTCTAATTGTTAGAACTAATATGTGTAATAAAATTGAAAGAAACAATCATAAAATGAAGAAAATTTAAATATAAGAACATTATCACAATCTTCATTACATTGGTATATTTAAAATTTCGATTTTGCTTACGTAAGGTGAATTCATGAATCAAATGAAAGAATTAAATCTCTCATAATTTGCATCGATTAGTTTTGACATTTGATTAACACTCGAGATATTAATAAGATATAAACTTGTCTTTGATCGCAATGTTTGATCCACTTCTACGCCACTGGTCGATGCTGCAGTCTGGGTCTGCTGACGGTTCAAACTCTCCCGCCACTCTCTTATTCCATCAGTGTCTCTCGCGTGTTCGCACGGGGAACATCGCTCGCGCGTCTTTATCAAGACTCATTTCGGCGAATTCTCGGATTTTTCATTATCAGCAAAAATATTCGTGGTGTAAGATTCCGCTTTCGCGGATAGTGAGAGGAGAATCGGTTCCTTACGGTTCCGGGCCTAGCCGCGTCCATCTAAATGAGAGCCCTTCGCGGATAGTTGAAAAATATTCGGTCCTCTTCTTTCCCATCCTTTCCTCTTCCGCATCCATCCTCCTTTCTTTATTCCTTTGTTGACCTGTTCCTCACGCAAATCGCAACTACATGATCTTCCGCGGGCGTTTCGTAATTATCCGGAGAATGGACATGGCTGACCGTTTCTGGAGACTGGCCCTGTGCTGGATATGCATCGTCGGGCTCGCAGCCGCCAATGGTGAGCGATTTAAACCCAACACATTTAAAGCCAATCATGTGATCGTGGTGATCCCGTGATCATCGTGATTTTATTCAAAATAATAAGCATGTAAGGAAAAATATAAGGAAATATATATGTTGAAAAAGTTCTTAATCGAGTACAGGTACCGCGGCACTGTCTACGCTTGATTATTGCGTTCTACAATCAGTGACGAAGAGAAAACATGACAATCGCGAATGAAAGTGACGTTCCTTTGTTCTCAAGCCGATTACGCCGACGATTGGCGGTTGACGCAGCATAAATAAGTAGCGTGACACGTCGCAGAATGCATCATAAAGTTTCAAAGCACCTGACGCACGCGCGTCTAAGTAGGATGTCCTAGATCGCGATGCCTACCAGGTATCACGAGAGAGGATCATAGTCTATCTAAAGCGCCAGTCAAGGTTGCGACGTTCCCTCATGCGTCGCGCGACGCGCTCGTTATGACTGACTTTAGACTCGTTACTGTTGACGTTGGTAGACGTTTTCTTTCCTACTCGCTTCATGGTTCGGCTATTTATAAAAATAGCAATGTCCGACAATGATAAAACAAACCGACAACCAACACGCACGTATGACGCTGGAGACCGAGCGTTTTATGACTCGCAAAGGCGCGTCCAGATTCCCACTCGAGCGCCAGTCGAGTATCATTTCATCCGTGTTTAATGATCGGCGAAGAGCAAGGATGATACATGGATGGTAATCGGGTGGGAATCTGAACTGTCTGAATATAACTCAAGGAGATTATTCCCTCGAGATACGACGCAGTCGACACTAATTAAAAGTAACATAACATCAGTGTTATAATTTTGCACTCAATAATGTAACTGTTATGTAATACTACGTCTGGTTTGTCATTATTTGGTTAACTTGTAGTAAACTAACTTCATTTAACTTGGTAATGTAAAAATTATTGTAATTTTCTAGCTATGATTAATCATGAAACTAATAGCTTTGTGGTGGTAAAAGTTATTCAGTATAAAATCTCAGTCTAGAAATTAATACAATTTTTATACTATTATCAAGTTAAAGTATTACAAGTTAACCAGCAATTGAAAAACCGGGCCTAAGTTATATTACATTTATAAACCTGTTCTTTTTCCATACTTCAGAACTGAACTTCTTACACGGTCTATCTTTTGTTTTTATTCTTCAATGTAAAAAGAAAAAGAAAAAAGATGAATCGTGCAAGAAATTCAATTCCAAGATATGGAAGAAAAATAGACCTTATACTATTAAATG